ATTTGTAAAAGTTGATTTGTTTAATATTGATGTGTAAATAATTCTTATTTGTGCTTGTTTAATTGATTTGTAAAAGTTGCTTTGTTTAATTGATGTGCAAATAATTATTATTTGTGCTTATTTAATTGATTGAAATGTAAAAGTTGATTTGTTGATTTCAATTTGCATCATATTGAAGGCAAAAGACCTGTTGAAGGTACACTTTCGCAACGCTAAACTCAAAATCGCAATGCGAAAGTCAAAATCGCAATACGAAAGCCAAAATCGCAACGCGAAAGTCAATTGGCGTTGTGATAGTCTAATACGCTTTATGATTTTCTCATTGCAATAGTCAAATTCCCGTTGCGATAATCAAATTCACGTTGCGATAGTCAAATTCGCGTTGCGATTTTTGAGTTGCGATAATCAAATTCGCGTTGCGATAGTCAATTTCGCGTTGCGATATTCAAATGAATGTGTAATAAGTGATAACAACTGAACATATCATATCAATGTTCAAACTCAAGTTACTAATACATGCCAACTGAAAATGTTAAAAGTTTACACATAAAATACACATAATAGTCAAATTCGCATTGCGATATTCAAATGAATGTGTAATAAGTGATAACAACTGAATAGAACATAGCAATGTTCAAACTCAAGTTACTAATACATGCCTAACTGAAAATGTTAAAAGTTTACACATAAAATACACATAATACAACGTTTGCATTTAAAAATCACCTAATTTAATAGTCCCAAAAGGTGAAGCTGGTTGTGATTGAGATTTTGATTTTGATTGCGATTTTGATTGCCTTTTTTTTATACCATATGAGCTTTGGATTTTGATGAGGATCCATATTTTGGTAGAGGAAAAGATGATTGTGATGGCACTGGTGATCCACATGTCAATCTTGTATGACCACTTTCCTTGCACCGAATACATGTCAATCTCTTCTTCTCTTCACCCTTAGACGGTATACGATCGTGACTTTTTGGTCGGCCAGGTAGCCTTCTGTCCATGGCTGGTGGCAAAACTGTTTGTAAGTCATCTGGTATGTCCCACTCAGAAGGATGTGGAATATGGTAGATAATCTCGGCATAAGTCTATCGATATACTTTTGTAGTGTAGCAATCCATAGTGTATGCGTTTGAATCATCTTAGTTTAGATGAAGAGCAACTTTTATAACATGGCCACACGAATAACCAGATGTTTGTCATTCATACAACTACACGTCTTTGCATTTAGATCGACAAGCCCATTTAAGTTATTATCCAGTACTTCAAACAAAGTGTTTGAACATGGTTCAACTCTCCATGACGTTGACTTCACAACACGTTTCGTTATCTTTTTTTCAGTCCATGATGTAACACGATGTTCCAATGTTCCTGTAAATTTAAATAAATAATACTTAGTAAAATATATGATAAGTTACGAATTTAAATAAATAATACCTGCATGGTTTCTTTTCTTGTAGTACCACTGTTGAATAGAGGCTCGAAAAAACTCCATTAACATAGTAATGGGTAATTTTCGGGAATGACGACTTAGAGCGTTGATTGATTCTGCACTATTAGACGTCATGAAACCATATCTTGCTCCAAGTTGATGTACTCTTGACCATCTTTCAAACCCAACATCTTCTAGTGTTTGAGCACACTGAGGTTAAACACGTCTTAAACAATTTATATGCTTATTAAAATCCACTTCCCGATAAGCTTTTACAATCTTCCAGTATGTCCATTTGTGATTTTTTATACCAGCAGACCTTGATTTTAGATTTCTATACAAATGAACACCACAAAGTCCATGAAAAGCATCTGGGAAACACCTTCTAACAGCGTTGTCAATTGAGTTTGCCCTATCGAATATGATTGTCAGATTGCTAATAGGACCTATGCAATCCCTAAGATGCCCCATAAACCATATCCATGAATCAGAGGTTTCAGATTTGCCAACCCCGTAAGCTATTGGCAGTATCCCATTGTTAGCATCCATGGCTACTGCTAATAAGTTTACTCCAAGGTATCGACCTTTTAAATGTGCTCCGTCAACTATAATAACTGGGCGCATGCAAGTAATAAACGAACGAATCTACAAAATCATATACACAATAAATATAATCATTTAAATGTGAAATGCATGTAACTAACAAAAATGAGTCAACAAAATTATATTGATTTACTAACCGCAGCACCAATGGCGATAAACAGCAACTCAAAGCGTCCATCTCTATCTGTTTTGATATGAGTTACCGACCCAGGATTTTTCAGCTTTAAATTGTGACAATAAGCCGGCAGTTGGGCAAACGATGCTTCTGGCGACCCCCTCAACAATTCCAAGGCATAACATTTGGCTCTCCAAACTTGAGAATATGAGATACTAATCTTGAATCAAGCATTCATATCAGTCATAATTTCATGTCCCCGATATACCCTGCCATTCAAAAACATTAACTCAGCCAGAAAACCACCCAACACCTTTTTGTTTGCCTGTCTATGGTGAGGAAAAACTTGGGTTCTTGAACATGTATGTTTATCAATAAAAGTCCTAACTTGAAACATTTCGCAATCTTTTATCCTCTTTTCAATCATACGCCACGTACAGTTTTTGTCAATCATACACCTTGTTTCGAAACGATCTTTGCTTGATTTATTAACTTTTAGTTGATAGCCATCTTCCACACATTTTGTATACAAAGCTATCTTCAAGTCTTCCTTTGTATCAAAACAATCATCTTTCTTTATATGAATAATTTTTGTGTAACAATTAACTGCTATTTTTACTAACTCTTCTTCTGGTATCTGAAGTAATTCTGGCATATTCCAGTTATACTCCCGTGGCATTTTCTTCGGGGACTTTTCTTCGGGTATTTCTTCTTCTTCTTTTTTAGGGTTATATGAATTACAGAATGGATGTTCAACATGTTCATTCACAGTCGTAACTTCCTCCTCATTATCATCAACAACATCTTCCTCGGCAGCGGCTATTTCATCATCAAAATTCGGGTATTGACCAATATCAAAATCATTACACGCATGGTCTGTTTCTTCTTCTGAAACATCATCAAAATCTGAGTATTGACCAAGATCAAAGTCCGGGTATTGACCAAGATCAAATTTTGAATACCGACTAGTACTCAAAATTTTTTCTGTTGGCTCATCATCGTCTAACTGGTTAATACGAAAACCAGAATTTGGTGCTGAAAGTTGATTGGGATTTGGATTAGGGAAAGGTTGTGGGTTTTGAGATTGTGTTTGGTATTGGAAATGTGGTGAAACAAAATTTGCTTGGTGATGAAATTGTGGTGGAACCATTAAATTTTGAGCACCATAAACTGGGGTTGAGAAACTTAGTTGATTACTACCCGCTACTGACCCAACTTCACTACTTCTAGGTTCAACAACATACAATGTAACATCATCTTGCGAAACACTAATGTAAGCAATGAATCGTTCAACATCTTCATTGTCAGTTAACAAATAAACTTTACATTTTCTCTGATAAGATAGCCTAAATCCACTTAAGGGCTCTAAATTCAATTTGCTTGTAACACGTAACATTAGAGTTTCATAAGTTAACTTTTTTAATGACAGTTTTAGTTGAAGATTCATGGGTAAAGGCATATATTATAAAACACCATGAACATTCTCCCATGACCCTCCAAAACACAAATCTATCCAAACATGATCAACATTAGATGATTTCATTGTAAATTAATTTACTAAACAAACGAGCTGCGAAACTAAAACATGTTGCCGGATGGGGAAGGATGTCGTTGGATATAGGAACGGATGTCGCCGGAGAGAGTGATAGATGGAGATGGAATGAGTTGTGATTTAGGGATTTAGGTTATGAGTTGTTGATGCATAGTTATATACCTAAAACATTTGTGTTGCGAAACAAAAACCTGTTGCGAATTTGAAATTCAGCGTTGCGACAGTCAGAATCGCGTTGCGATAGTCAGAATCGCGTTGCGATAATGTATTATCGCATTGCGATAGTCAGAATCGCGTTGCGATTTACATATTCGCATTGCGATTTTCTAAAATCGCAACGCGAATTTGGAATTAGAAAATCGCAATGCGATAGTCAAAATCGCGTTGCGAATCTGGAAACTGATTTGCGATACTGGAGATCGCGTTGTGATTTAGAGATCGCGTTGCGATTTAGAGATCGCATTGCGATTTTGTTGGTCATTTTGGCAAATCAAAAAAAAATTGGTCAAAATCGTATATTATAAGGAATTTTCGGTCACTGAGGTTATTTTCTCATAATAATAATATAATTTATTTTGTTAATAGTGATCTTAAGATACTAAATTATCAGGTAACAAATTTGCCGGCTTTTAAAATATGTCCTTGTTTGAATATTTAATTATTCAATTTTTTATTTTTTTTTACAAATTCTAAATTTAATCATAATCTTAGAGAGGAAGGAAAGACTAAGAGAATAAAGAAAAATATTCTTAGTGGATCTAGAAATCATATTTTATGAAAATATAAAGGAATAAAGATGAGCAGCTTGACTAACTGATCAAATATATTTACTCATTCTATATTCATATTTTACTCATAGTTGTATTTTAACATAATTAATATCTCAAAGTATAAACAAATTAATTTTTACAATTTAATACTACTACTAATATCCCACCAATTATCTTCTTTTATTTCACACATGTTTATAAATAATGTTTTTTTTTATTTTAAAGTATTGTAAATTTACAAGAAAATAGAAAATTAAATCTCATCCATTAAATAGACATGGGCACATCTATCTATGTGAAATTTGTACATTAAATAAGGCGATGTGTGAAATGAGATGATCTCAATTCTCAACGTGGTGGCGTGTATGTGTATGAACATGAAAATCAGTTCCTAAAACACACACAAGGATAAGGGAGCGACTGTATTAGCCTTACCTTTCATCCTCTTCATTTCTCATTTAATGCTCCCATTCAATTCTAACAATGAACCAATCTCCCAACCCACCCCTTTCCTTTTATTTCCTTCCAAAGCAAAACCACATATTCTAAGTCCCCCCCCCCCATCATGCCAAAGCAAAGCGATATAGACCTTGTGAAAGCAGCTGCATGGGCATGGTACCAGCACAGTTCAAGCTCCGATGGCAAGGCCACCGCGATCCGAGAATTCAATGCCGTTCGATCTCAACGAGTTCCGGGGCCTACACGCTATAAATTGGAAGCCATGAGAAACAACAACAACAGCACGGGGACGGAGGGATTGATCCGTAGTTCTCTCCTGGATCCCTACGAGATCGAAAGCATTTCTAAGCGACTCGATCAGCTTATCGGATTGAGTGGAATCAAATTAAACCGGGAGCTATTGAGGATGAATGAAGATGTTGATGATCACCCCGAGAAAAAGAGAAGCAGCATGAGCTTGAAAGGGTTTCTGCAAAGGCGTGCTGTGGTATGCGGCAGAAACCATGATGTGGAGGAAACGGCCCTAAGACCCAAAATCCATATGGCTGCCGCTAACAGGGTAAACGGCAAGCCACGGGCTTGGTGAATTTGCAGCCACTGGAGTGTTGGAACGTTTTGGTCGTTGTCGAGTACTCTCTTACATATTAAATGTCAAATACATTGGCATTTCATTCATTCAAACAATGCCATCAAATTTGTCTCTTTTTTTTAATAAATGCATTTGATTGTTGGAAAAGGAAAGCTGCTCCGAGTTGAATACAAAAAAATGCTATACATTGCAACTCTTTCGTTAGATGTGTAGAAGGAAGACCAGAAACCAACAATCTAATCTTGGCATAAAATTTAATCAATGAATAAAAAACTGGATCAGATCATCTCGTTGAGCTGAAATATGTTATTACTAAAAAATAATGATTTTTTAATTAATCCCAAATTCATAATTTTAGTTCCAAGTTTGAACCAGAGTTTGTATTTGTCGATAATCAACAACATTATGGATAGTAAATACTCTTTGGCGATTCATATTTCATTTATTATTGCGGTTTTCTTTTCCTAAACATGTTTAACAAGTGAATGAATATTTTTTTTCTTTTATTCCCGTTATAAAATGAGTATTTACTCATTCTCAAAAGTTGTGTAACAAACTTAAAAAGGAAAGATTCAAAATGTCAGTAGGATACTTGCATATATTTATATTTGATAAAACATAATAAAATATTACATATTATTTTAATAAACTAAACACATAATACATGATAAACCAAATACTTCATTATAGAGAAAGACAGCAAGTAAAATAATACTAATATCTCAAAGAACAGATCTTTGAACAATACTGAAACGATTACCTTGTGCAATTATTACATGCATGCATGCTTATATCCGTATTTTCAAAGGAAATAATATTTAATTTTTAATAACACAAGACGCGGTGATTCTTACACCCCCAATAATCAATGATTATTAATAATAATAAAAAAACAAAACGATTCCAAACCACAAGTGATTAAGATCATCATCCAAATAATAAAATCACTGGTGATTTTAAAAATGACGCCAAACGCTGCCCAAGTTTGAAGCAAAATGCACTATATTCTTACGGCAGGCTGATAAAATATTGCTCCTACTATATCTAACAGGAATCCCCCAATGGATGCCACAAGGAATACCAATGGAGAAAGAATTAGACACAACATGAGGCATTAGCTTATAGGCGCTGTTAATGATCAAGCATTGAGAAACATAAACGGGTTAGAATGGGCTGATGTGATGAGCCAACCTTAACAAAATCTCGGGTACAAGGCGTCTTCTCGGAGGTGCCAACGCATCCTTGGCAAGAGCTTCCTCATCACCCGCATGTATCACAGCAACCATATGATCAAATAGATCGTCCTTTCCACCTCGTAATGGATCCTGCATGATATTGCTCAATTTTAGGGGCGGGAATAACAGTTGAGAGATGCCATATCTATATTTTTTTGTCGTAAATATAGTTGCTCGAGGAATCGGAAAACCAGGAAAACTTCAAATACAGCACTGAAAAAAAAAATTGCAGCAGCGCTCAAACAATGTATGCTAGTTGTTAATACTATTACAATAACTGCCATTTACTTTACTGTTTCCCTGTAAAGCTTCAAGCAGTTTGAGCTAAATTCACTATCACAAAGATTTGGGGTTGGTGATTCATTGCCCTGTACCCGTGTTCGACATTGTCCTCCCAGTTTATATGTAGATTACAAGGACCTCAAGTAAGGCATATTAATGGATAAGAAATATGAAATTTTTGTATTCATTTAGTTTTATAACACGAATTACCGTTGGATGATCAGACTGCAGCAAAACAAGTATATTAAGCCTAAAATGACATTAGAAAGCTAGTAATAACCACCGACCTGTAAAAATAGATCGGTATGGGATTTCCCTTCATATAAAATTACTTCAGCCTCAGCCCCTACCCCTTTAAGGGCTTCTACAAAGTTTATACTGCACAGATAATGTCAATATTAGGAATAGCAGTTTCTGGGGAAAATTGCAGTAAATCCACTGCAGCAGTATTATGTCTCCTCATCACCATACATCATTACTAAGCTTGAATTATTCCCATTCCAATCATTATTTCATGATACATCTAAAGATTCCAGAATAAAAATATAGAAATGTGATTAAATAGCAGTTTGAAAGTAAACAAAGATATTAAACAGTTGGCATTTAGACCAACAGGTATTTCTAACCTGGCATCTGATGGTATTGATAAATCTGAAGTTCCATGGAAAAGTTTAATAGGGGGAAGAAGAGAGGCAGCTTCTCTATTGCGTGGATCTTTTATTCTAACTTCAGGAGAAAATTGTTCAAAGGATTCTTCCCCTTCCATGATGCTGTAAAATTGAAACAGAACTTCAGTTGGTTAATAAATGGAACATGGGATAACTAAAAGGAAAAAGACGTCTACAGATGGTTGCCAGAAAAATAGTATAGGCAAAATACCTTAAAAAGATGGAACGATAGAGGCCTCGATTGTGGAAATGATCAACCAAATTGAATAAATTGTACCTATTAACAATTTAAAAGGTAATAAGCACGTTTCTAGTTACAACTGTCAAATCTGTTTATACAATTGAATTGGAGAATAAGACCATACCAAGTACAACTATCAATCGACAGAAGATTTAACTTATGCCATAAAAAATATAAAGAAATGCCTATCGCTTTAAGCGGATAGCTCATATGTATATATATATATATATATATATATATTTCAGTTGCTAATTCTTCAGTAGAAAATGCTCACAGCAAAGTCGAAGATAAAATAGTTTCACCATATTTTTGTAAATTAATAACTAAATGAAGGATCACAGCAAAGTCTAATTAACTTACAACTGACGTTTGCCTCTTTTAGAAGGCAAATATTACTATGTACTAAGGTAAATTTCTTTCAGCTGCAAATTAAAAGGTCTTCATAAAATGACATAAGAAAAGCAAACTGGCAAGGGAAATATATATATTTTTGGAAGAAAAAAAAGAGAAGCAGGATACAAACGTAACAAACTGCATTTTACATGAGTTATTCCCTCTGCAGTGATACCGCCTTGCAAGATAACATCTAGGAAAATCAGAAAGGGTGGAAACTATGATCCAAAAGATAAAGTTCTAGAGTGAAAAAAAAACACATGGAAGCTAAGAAGAGCTTTATTTGCAAGTCATGAACTTGAACCAACCAACAAAACAGAACAAAAGCAGTGATTCAAGATAATCTATTTCAAAAATTGACTATGTTTCACAAAATATATATATAGCTAAGTGTCTTTCAGTTGGATCTTATCTGAAGCATTAATGTTCTATAACCATTTCAATGAAACCAGTGGCGGATGGTACCAAGGGCCAAAGGGAGACTTGGCACCCCCAAAGTTTTGGAAAATTTGCATTATACCCTTAAAATATTTTTGAAAATTTAATTAGCCTCGTTGAAAATTTTAGAAATTCTCATGAAGTCTTAAAATTTTTGAATATTTTTAATTAATCACCTTCAAAATTGTTAAAAAAAATTATTAGTCTCCCAAAATTTTTGAAAATTTTGATTAGACCTCCAAAAGTTATAAAAAGTTTGATTAGTCCCCCTCAAACTATACCACCAAGATCCGCCACTGATTGAAACAGTCATGCACCCTACATAAGAAATGAAGAAAGGTAGCTTGTTGCTTCATTATTAGGATATGGACATTTCATCATACAGAAGGTATTAAAAAGGTTTAAAATTCATATAGCATAGTGAACTTGACAGTCTTATATAAGATCCTTGTGGATCATTAATCTTGCTGCTTAGATGTACTAATAAAGCCCAAGACGTTGGAAAATACAGCTTTCTGCATATCCAACATATCTTATGCAAGAGTCATCATAAAGAACAGATAAAAGTTTACCCTCCAGATAAAGCAAAATATGCTTTGATTTGGGAAACACTCCATGTAGTGTCTTCTCCTCTAGATTCTTTGATTGCTTGCTCCAAAAGAACACAAGAAGAAATATGTGCCCCCGCTGACTGCCCCATTAAATAGATTCTATTCAAAATAAACATAAAAGGGTAAAATGAGATAATATGGATATTCGAGAAGCATGCAAAATCAAAGAAAGCAGTCAGTCACCTATTAGGATCACCTCCATATCTGGCAATGAGATTGCAAACAAATGAGACCCCTTGAGACACATCTTTCACCATGTCACTAATGGTTCCCTGGGGGAAGTTCCTGCGTACATATATCAAACAAAGACAGTTACCAGTAGAAGAAAAGAGATAGGCCTCATAAATATAATAAATTTTATGACAATATGTGAGCCAGTAAATAACATGGGGGGCAAATTGTATGGAGCATGGAGGCAAAAACATTCTTTAGATATGCTATTTCATCATTGAAGTTTACAAGTACTCATTTGAACCTTATTTCACACGCAGGTGGCATTTTTGGCAAAAATGAACAGAGCACTATGTCATGGCATCAACCAAACTAATACCTGTAATCAATACATGCCACAATGATATCTCTTTCCGCCAATTGCAGTCCTAGAAGTGATCCCCAAGCCTTGTACCTAAAACAACAGAAGAGTTCAGAAATTTTACATAAAAAATCGAATGAAGTTATATACTTCCAATAAATGTTTAACGGTCAGCTAGATATGAAAGTGGTTGATACACTGATCACTCAAATCCATTGAATGAGCAATTTCAACCTTAAATTCTCTTAAGGTTTATAGAGCCCTCATATAATATATTTCAATCTATGTTTATCTAATTCCTAAGCACGGCCCATATTAATTGACAACTACAAGAATAAACAACCCGATGCAGAACCTCCTTATGAAACATTAAGGAATTTTAAGGCTATATTATGCATTTCATATTTAATCCACATTCATGCAATAAAAAGTGGCTAATACACAATGCACAAATATCATGTCACTCACCCAATTATCCAGGCTCCACCTGTCACAAATACCACAACTGGCTTTGGGCCATTAATATTTGTTGGCAAGTATAGATCCAATCTGTCACATCATCATCAAAGGAGAAAAGAGTACTGTTAATCTATGACTTGTGACAGGCAAGTCAAAGAATGTAACTACTTATCGTTTGATGTGCCAGGTTTGATCCCTGGTCACAGAATGAAGAGTCCAACACTATATCAACAGAATTCATGGTTGTTGGCCTAGCTTTGTAAGCACTTGTGTCACATATTCACATACCTATTCCTTGGTTGATCTCCATAAACAATACTCCGTCGCACTTGACTTGAGAAAAAATAATAATATGCAACTGCAGAAGATTGACAAGTAATGCTCAAGTAATTATTTTCCATCAATCTGAAGATATTTGAAAGAAACCTACAAATATAACTATTTCTGACATAGCAAACGACACAGCAAAAATCTATAAAGTATTCCCATGCAAAGATATGTATGATCACAATCTTCAGAAATATAACCATCTCTAAACTGCCAAAGCAGGAAAGCAAACATAGTGCAGCTGTCATTTATTCCCATGCAAACAGTTGTACGATCACAATCTTCACAACCCTGATTGCAACACCCATCATATATGAATACTTGTACCCCATGAATTCAGTTAGTGGGAGAACCAAGACATGTAGGAATAGATTACAGATGGGCCAACGACGTCATTTGATCACTGAACATTAAAAAAGCTCTAGACACATATATTGTTAATGAATAAATGATCCCATTATAAAAGATCATGTGGGTCATACATGCATGAATCAAGCTACCTCAGCTGTTAAAGGGATAATTGTTATCCCTAGTGGTCTCAGGTTCGAGCTCCAGAGACTCTAAGGGTGTTGAGCTTTCATTGCCAAATGGTTGAGAATCTTTAGAATATATATAACATTGTAATCACCCTAGATTAATCACAAAACAAATGTGGGTCATACACACAATCTATTGAAACTATCAAAGTTCCTTTCAAGCCTATATGTGTGTGTGTGTGTGGGGAAGAGGGAGAGAGAGAGAGAACGCTTGCGTGTGACTTGCCACAAGAGCTAAAACAAAGTAATAAATCGATTCTTATATTTACCTCTTTTTTTTCTTCTTCGATGATATACAATTTACTATTTCATGTAAAGGGGAAGTAAATGATTGTTAATAATAAGTTTGCAAATTCGTGCAGAAAAATATAATCGATCAATAATAATAGAAAATACCTTGAAGAAAACCAGGCATAAGAAGCAAAGCATAACAAGCAAGGGCAAGTAATCTTGTGTACCACCGGTAGCCTACCCTGAATGCAAATGTATGATTAAAACAACGTATATAATAATGAAGTTGAAAGCAATACAAAATAAGTTTATGGACAATAACGTATATATACATATATGTGTGTTGAATTACTTTCGTTCACTGGTTCTATCTCTGAAAATCTAAGGTATATATATATAAATGTTTATTTGAAAAAGATAAAAAAGTGAACTATTTTGTTGTTCATTAAATCTCTCTCTAAAATCTACATTGCTCTAACTCTTCATCTCTCTTTAAGTATCTAAGTCTTACATCCGCGTTCAACGCAGATGTTTAATTTGACCCTAAGGACCCTTAACATGAATGGAAAAACTTATAAACATTAAACATGCGTGTCAGGCACATACTCATCTCCAGGGTTTCAAATCGCGGTCGCGGTCGCGTTTTCGGTTATTTCGGATTTACCGTGATTGCGGCCGTCGCGGGCGCTATTGCGGCCATCGCAGACGCTATTGCGGCCGTCGCGGGTAACTCGGATGGCGGCGAAACCGCTATATCACGGCCGAAATCGCGGTCGCGGACCGTTTTTTAAAACCCTGCTCATCTCCACTACACCAGAGTCCAAGCAACATGGTTAAAAGTACCAAAAAGATTATCAACAAAACGCATCCAGCAAGCAAATTTGAGAAGAACCAATCTCAAATATGGCAGAACAGGGTTCTGAATGATAACAACGTTTCCTTTAAATCATATAGTGGGTGTAAATTGGCTCAACCTAATAGATTCGCAGATCCTTAGTTGGAACTCAACCTACTTTCTCACAACTCCTAAGCAGCCATTCAGAAAAATTATGGTGATTCACTTTGCTTCTCTTCTTTCCTTCAACTGTCTAGGCAACCAAAGACGGCATATATTCTAAAATTAAAACTAGATAAAAAAATTACCACGATTCTCATAAAAGTGACACTTCCTCGACAAACTGAACTATAAAACCAACTTTCTTTAAGGAACAAAGAAGAATGCAATTGAAATCCGCAGATAATACGTGTAATAATAATGATGTAAATTATATACCCGAGATATCGGAGGAGAGTAAAGGCAAGTCGCGTAACAAGATAAGTCTCGGCGGCCGCATGGCTTATGTCCCGGCTAAAAGACTTCTGCCTGTCCATACTTGCCGGTTTCCCGCGAAACCGTTGTTGCTGATGGATGCCGGAGGATGCAAAGAAGGAGCCGAGGAATCTGAAAATCACGGACCTAACATCCAAACAAATATGAGTAGCAGTAGCAGTTTCGCAACGTCGACGGTGGTCATGCATCGGCGGTGACAACGATGTCATCGCCGGCCCCTAGATAAGAAAAAGGAAAGAGAGGATCTCAGATTGATTGACGAAATGATTTTGCTTGTTTTGTTTAATTTTTTAATTGTTATTATTTGGAGCGTTCGCCTTGGCCTGGTTCAAGCCTTTTATTCGAATCATTTGGTGTGGCTGTCGGTGCAGTGCTATGCCACGTAGCAATCAAATAATAGAGTGGGATCCACATTCGAATACCCCAGAGGATGATAGGCAGGGAGAAAGCTTAGGAATGTTTAAGTAAAAATAAATTAAGAGTTTAAGTAAAAATAAATTAAGTAAATTTTTAATTTAAAAGTAACTTTTTATTTGTAAAATTTAAATTTGAAAGACATTAATTTTGTTGTTATTTTATTATAATAAATGTTTTATTTAAAGTGATGAGGTATGATGCGTCTAACTATCAACAATTACATAAATTCTGTACGCAAAAGGAATGTGTCTTATCGAAAAGATATCGTGGGGGTGGTTGTGTGTATAATTAGGGCGATAACACCTAAAATTAACCCTTACTAATTTTATTTAACTATCATACACACTTTCATCTTTATTTACTGATCTAACACCCTTAACAGGAAGACGCGACACATTTACCTTGCCTTACGTCACGTGGTAAAAGACGCGGCCATGCATCGCATTTTGTTAAACGTGTAAAAAATTAGATATTAATTTTATAAATATTTTTAAAATAATACCTAATATGTAATTAATTTCTATTAGGGTGATATTTATATAAAAATATCAACTTTATTTATTTATTTTTTGTGTGATATTAATTTTTAACAACATTTAATAATGTTTATTAACTTTTAAAATTAATTGTTTAAAAATATAAAAATAGTAAAATAAACTTTTAATTACAAATGAATTATTATTCAAATTTTAAAAAAATCAATAAAAATGAATTAAAAGTGAATAAAATTCAATAAAAAATATAAAGCTAAAAAATATCACCTCTTTATTGAGAGACTATTTTTTTAATATTAATTTTAAAAAAAATAAAATAAATTTTAAATTATAATTTTATTAAAAATGAATAAACATTATTAACTAATGTTAAAAATTAATAATTAATGAATAATAATTCATTTGATCGTTCAATTGTAATTAAAAGTTTATTTTAATATTTTAATATTTTTAAACAATTAATTTTAAAAGTCAATAAATTTTTCAAAAATATATGAAATTTATAATTTTTTAAATTATAAAATATTTATCATCATAACATCATTTTGTAAAACAAATTTTGGTTATAAATTTTTTATAAAATTATTCATATTTTAAAATACTTACCCTCACAGTTTTCCTATACTAGATTATATGTATTGTGTAATTTCATGCAAAAATTAAAATAATTTTATTATAAATGAATAAACATTATTAATTGTTGTTAAAAATAATAATTAATAAATAATAATTTATTTGATCCCTAATTATAATTAAAAGTTTATTTTAATATTTTTATATTTTTAAACAATTAATTTTAAAAGTCAATAACATTTTTAAAAATATATGAAATTTATAATTTTTTAAATTATAAAATATTTATTATCATCATCATCATCATCTTATAAAATAAATACTTGTTATAAAAATTTTATAAAATTATTCATATTTTAAAATATTTACCCTCAAAGTTTTCCTATACTATATTATATGTATTGTGTAATTTCATATAAAAAATCAAAATTTATCGAGTTATAAAATAATTTGTAAATGAATATTTTAATATTTTAATGTAGGAAGTTTTTTTTACACATAAAAAATAAATAATTAAAGTTGACGTTTTTACACAAATATCACTCTAATAAAAATTAATTACATATTAGATATCATTTTAAAAATATTTACAAAATTAACACCCGATTTTTACAAGGCACAATACATGAGCCTCGTCTTATCCATGTGACATCAAATCAACGTAAAGCGTCTTCATATAAAGTGTGTTATATCAATAAATAAAGATGAAAAGATATCTGATAAATAAGTAAAATCGATAAGGGTGATTTTTTGGGTGTTATCGCCTATAATTAGACAAAGTTGGTCACCGATTGCATGATAGGATGGTGATGTATGCAATTCCAACAAGAGCAAGCAACCACATGTGATTTGTGATCACTGCCCCCACTTGCCAATTAATGACTCGTGGATCGTACCAGATGGCTGGCTGGCAGATGAATTTTACAATATTCTTGGATTGTGCTACGATTGTATAATAAGAATAAGGTATTGAAAATAATTTTAACATAATCAAAACTTTATTAAATTAAATTATAAAACTCAAATTGCTATCTATTACAACGCATATAGTTATTAGACAAAATTATTAAACAATATACTTACATTCTATCATTACTTACAAATTGATCTATTATCTTTTTATTTTAAAATATATTCTGAAAATAATTAAAATATAATGTGATACGAAAATGTAATGTAAGTTCAAAAAGATGGTTGTGAATTATAATTTATATGGTATTCTAAATAAGGTTAAACATATAAGATATACATAAATGATGAATCATTTGGGTGGTATCGATCTTTATCTTACATCTAATATAATAACATCATCATGTGTCGTTACTTGCTGCTTTTGCACGTGTCTAAGGATAAGGACAACGCCAAGTCAAATCTATCGTTGCCCCGTCCAAATTAAGATATTGTTTTTAGATACTCTTCAGTAAAAGTAATTCTAAATAGTTCGAAATTTAATAAAAAGAAAAGGTAGAGATACTTTTTGCATCACGATTCTTCCAGATTTACCTCCTAATAATCAACTCCCATGTTGAATTTCATTATTGTATTTTGCTTTTATTGGTAATACTACTTTTTAATAGAATGAGTTCAGAATTATCACGTCTCTAGACTTCCTATTATTTTAAACCTTTTTTACTAATAAAATTAAACAATTTCGTAACATCAACACCAAACACCTTTTCAATCATTTGCAACCAAAGATACCTTCACAAGGGAAAACATGCCGACTAGTGTAGAATGCAAAGCCAAAATATATCTATGCCATTATTATAGCTGCTAATATTGTCAGTCAGACTCAAATTCAAGGTTTGTAGGAAAATCGCAAATACTTCTATGTCAATTTTCAGCTATACATGTATCAGTATCCATAATAAAACATCAATTATGCCAAAAAGAACCCAACATTCCACTGTATATTACTTCTATCTGGACCACCATTTCTGAATTGCAGAAACCGGAGTGTTCAAAAATGGTGCGTAACGCTGGATAAGTGGATTAACCGTCCTTCCTATCTTCGTCCACACACTTTGGTGGTAACCAGCAGTAACAGGTGCTTGGTACATAAGCTTCAATAGCTGTCACACAGTGGAACAGCAAAACACAAAAGGATTAAGACATTCATTTGTCAAAGAACAACCCCCCCCCCCAAATACTCTTTTCTGGAAGCGTAAATAAGGTATTTGTGGCACAACTAAACGGTTTTAAATGGTATTTCCGCTAACAGTAGTACCATATTGACGTTCGTATCAACCAAGGAACAACTCCATGTTCTAAATGAGACTACACATATCAATTGTCCATTCATCAATGACCAAAAATGGAAAACAGAAGTAAAAGGGCCAGAGAGAAGAATGGGAACATGACTAGGAAGGGAAAAACCATATCTGAAGATTAACCCAAGAAGAAACATCAAATACCAATCTTAATGGTAAGTCATTTGTGCAAATACTTGTTCTCTTGCAAATAAATAAACTTGGTACTGAACCAACCTATTATGCCATTGCCATCCAAACAATTGCTAAGAAAAGAAAAGGTATTACATGAAAAGTAAGAAATAAAATTACAGAAGAAGGATGAGATACATACCTGCCAGTATATGAAAGTTTGTATAATATTGCGTTGCCACCTACAAAATTCAATAGAAAATTTCAGCAAATTAGAAAAGCTAGAGAAGGTGGAATATATTGGCCTGGACTGAATATGAACCAAAAATAGAGAAATATATTAAAAACTAACGAGAGCAAGGAAACAATTAGAAGGAAGCCAAGTCCAATCTCAGCATGTGACGACAGTATACTCAAGGTGGTGGTGTTTGATTCTACCCAAACACAAGGATCTTCCAAATACTTCCTGTTCAAACAAAGGGGACAGTATTTGTAAGGAACCAAGAAATAGACCCTCAGTGATAGACATGACTACAATTTCATTTCACCTAATGAGTTCGTTTTTCTTTTGGCACTAGGGGTGAGTACTCAGTCAAGTCGAGTAAAAAAACTCGAGCTAGTCGAGTTTACAAATATCATTTTATTATTCAAACTTTATTTGATTTTTTTTTCGAGTCGAGTTTATACAATATATATCTTCATATTTTTTTCGCATGTGTAAGATTTGTAATATTATTTAATAAAACAAATATTATTTAAAATTAAATAATATATTTATAATGTTATTTCTTAAAAGAAGGGAATTTGAGGACAAATTATTGATGGGGAATAAAGGAGTCGAAGAATTGGTGGGAATAAAGAATTTGCAAAGAGTTGGAATTGGAGAACAAAATTGAATAAAATGCAAAGTTGAGGAACTAAATTGCAAAATGGAAAATTTGGTGTCCAAAAAGAGGAATTGAAGTTACAAAGGTACTATAGAGTGATAGAGGAACATGTGGTTCAAATTTGGTCAACAACAGACTTAAAACGAATAGAAATTGAAGAAATTAGGAAATTAGGACCACTTAGCTAAAGAACAAAATGACGTCGTTTGAATTTTTGATTTTTCAGTTATTCGAACTTTGAAAATCTGAACTTGACTCAAACTCGAAATCCGAACCAAAAATATGAGTTGACTTAGTTTTTTTTAGTCAAGCTGAGTTTTACTCACCCTAATTAGCACGCCAATAGTTTCAGTAAAAATAGTGTGTAAAATCCACCTTTCTGTGCCTTTTCATATAATAACACAATTTCTGTCTATCTGAAATTTAAGCCTTTCCACATAACTAATATCATCCAGCATACTTAATTTCTTGTATTGAGTTTTAACAGTATGATCACATGATTGATAAA